TAGCCAGCATTTAACGTCTCGCTTTATTTGGTGGGACCCTATTTGTATTGTAGTACTACGATTGTGATTCCATGAAAACTTTGACTGCTTTGCTAATTTTACATATAATTTTACAGGTGAAATTGATTGACAGCCATTATGTAATACATGTAAAGTCGATATGCAGTCAATAAATTCTGTGACACGGTCATAGATTTCTTGGCGCATCGTTGATTAATTTTATTGCAATATGTTAATTATCACAAAATTACTGTATTGTGATATTCTCTTTATCGTCTGCAAAATATTGTGATAGTATCGTATCGTAAGGAACCTAGCCATACCCAGCCCTATTTAATATCTTTTGATATTGTTCCCCTTTGTAATCATTGATGATTTTTTTTTTCCATGTTTCTAAACAGAAGCGATCAAACTCTGTTAGGAGTACTTAACCACACAAAAACACCTGGTGGCGCTAGAAGATTGCGCTCCAATATTCTGGAGCCTCTAGTGGACGTTGACACCATCAACATACGTCTGGACGCCATACAAGAACTGCTGCAGGACGAGGAGCTCTTCTTTGGCTTAAGAAACGGTTGGGAACAAGCATAAAAAAGTCTTTAATCGAGTACATGCCAATAATATGTACATGACTCAGTGTTTCACGTAGCTGTTCTGTTGCATTCTTTAGCCATAGGTAATTTCCTGGACATTGACCAGCTGCTCTCTGTTCTTGTCCAAGTCCCTAAGCAGGAAACAGTATGTCCATTTTATAAAATTAGACATGATTGTAGAGCATGGTGTCATCGCTGTGGAATTTGTAGTTCTTTGTGTGGCTTTAAAAAAATGGGGCAGGATTTCTGAAGGCGTATATTAACTTCTCAGTGCTGTCTGTGTTTGTGTGCAGGTCCAGGGTGCTGAAGCAAAGATCACTCATGTCATTCAGCTCAAACACACGTTGGATCTGGTGCCAAGGTTGAGGGTCTGTGTTCTGAAAATGGATATTATTATGGTGCAACCTGAGAAATTGGAACTCACATACGGTATCTAAGAATCTTTGCTACTCACCAACGGAACCATAATGAAGGGCAAAAGGTTCCCAAAAAACAACATACCAAAAAAGTGATATGTAAACAAAGTCGTCTTCTACATATGGGGCCACATGATGACGTAATCGTCTGCTTCATATTGCCGTTTTAACGTATGATGGAAAGATGGAATAGGACATTTTTAAATACATTTATAGGAGATTGCAACATCATCATGAAATCATCATTTCGTCATCAACTGGTGGCCCGTGGACCTAATCTGACCCGCTGAAACATCTAATCCGACCTCTAAATGGATTCCAAAATAAACATCAAATAATAACGTCAGATAAAAATGTGATTTTTATTTCAATTTTTTTTTGAGCGCCCCTGGCCCCTAAGGTCTGTATAGAAAAACTGTGCCCCCCAACAAGCCCCCTATAGGTATGGCATCGTAAGATGGTGATTCACTGTATTTATGTACACACACACACCATTTATTTTAAAGATATAAAGACATTTTTACTACCTTATGCACAACAGCGTAGCTGTAATGGAAATGATCAGCTGCTACTTTGTGCTGTGTGAGCAGATGGTGTTGAAAAACTGCAGCACAGCTCTGTTAAAGGCTTACAGCACCTCACTGGACGACAGCAGGTAAAAGGTTTCAGTGTAAGATGTGAGTAAAAAAACTCTTGGAACATCCTTAGAACTCTTGACTGAAACAGTTCCTTCTTTTCTCGTCCCATCGTTTCCTCCTCAGATTTGATGTGATCCTGGAACAGATCAAGACAGTAATCAACGACGACACAACATACCTTAAGGGGAGTCTAAACATGCGCACCCAGAAGTGTTACGCCGTACGCCCCAATGTCAACGAGTTCCTCGACATTGCCCGCAGGGCTTACACCGAGATCGTGGACGACATTGCAGGTGTTTGCCGATATGAAGTGTTTCTGCAGCTGTGAATATAAAATTGTACTTCAAGTCTTATTTAGTGGTAACACTCTCACACAGGGCTGGTGAACCAGATAGGGGAAAAATACGGATTACCAGTGAGAACCAGCTTCAGCACAACGCGCAGTTTCTTCATTCAAATGAAACTTGAAGGCCTGTCTTTTCCTGAGGGGAAACTTCCTTCAGAGTTCATCAAGGTTCGTTCCACACACAAATACAACATTGAAATGAAAACACTGGTGATGGATCTTTTTTAAAATTATTATTATTAAAATAAATTGTGAAGAAAAAGGGATAGGTTTTTCCCTTAATTTGCTCTACAGTTAACTTTATCTCCATATTTAATTACCATATAAACAGGGCGGCCCCTCCCTATATAAAGAACACACACTGCGCCTTAGGCCCGTTTGTGGAGCCCCATTTGTGAGTGTTATTTGCAAATTGCATAATTGTTGCAGCTCACCGCTGTAACAAATTGTCTAATTGTTGGTTTTGGTGGATGGGGAGGCACTTGAAAACGTTGCCTAAGGCCCAAGTTTGGATAGGGACGGCCCTGAATATATTGTCTTGTCACTATATACATAACAACGTTGGAACTCGTACCACCTCAGGTGACCAAGCACAAAAACAACTACAGCTTCACCACGGCCGACCTGATGAAGATGAACGATCGTTGTGACGAAGCCCTGAGGGAGATCTTTCACATCTCCTACGTGTAAGAAAACCCTGATCGTCTGCATCACAAACATGTACCTAGAGCTGTTTACAATATTTACACAGAAGATCCACCTTTCAGTTTGGTAGGTAGGTTTGATTGTTTACTTTCAAAAATATGACAAAATGCTACTCCTGCATGTCTAGAACCTGGGCCAGGGGTGGGCAAATGTTTTGACCACAATGGGTCCTAAAATTTGACAGGGGGGGGTGGGGGTGTTAGGTTTATTCTAACAAAGGTGACGACAAAGTAACAACACAAAGACGTCTGGATCTTTTTCTTGCAAGGGGAGAATGCAGCTTGCTCTTCTGGCTGCTTCCTCATCAACTCCGAGTTGCTGCACCCTTCCCCTGCTCTTTTATTTAGTTTACAAAAGTATCAGATAACATAACATTTGATTTAGTGTGAGTATATGGGGTAGGAAGCTGGATATGTAAATGGGTATGAATGGGGGTGTGACAAGGAAAAGATGGGAAGTAAGCAATTTGTTAAAGCGACAGTAATACACTGGAGTAAATATGGGAAGCAAGTGATTTGTTAAAGCGACAGTACAGCATGAAACAATGATAATAAATGCAATTCTTCCAACAGGGGGTGAGGTCAGGAGTAGAACTAAGAGAAACGAAACGTAGAAGTCATGAAAAAAGGATAAAATACTGAAATGCTTTTAGCCTTTTTTACGCCATCTATTGGCTAAGGGGGGGTGGGGGGGTGGGGGTCAGGAGTAGAACTAAGAGAAACGTAGAAGTCATGCGAAAAGGATAAAATATTGAAATGATTTTAGCCTTTTCTACGCCATCTATTGGGGAAATGTGGGCATTGCACGGAAAAGGCAGAAGTATAATGCAATGTAAATAAATTGATAACATATTTTAGACAAGTTTGGCGGACCGGATTAAATTCAAACAGCCGCATCCGGCCCGTTGGCCGTAGTTTGCCCATGCCAAGGTTCTTGGCAGTAATTAATTAAAAAAAGGTCCCAGTTTGATCATATAAAACTATTAATTTATCTGCGTTCCCACATTTGTCCACTAGATGGTGATGTGTGCTCGCTATAATTGCACTCTTGCGCGTTCTGCTTGTATCTTCTAATCTGTCTCCATGCAGGGTGATATGTCAACTGCTGAACACCATCCGAGAGCACATCCACTGTCTGTACAAGCTCTCTGACGCCGTGTCCATGTTGGACATGTTGCTGTCTCTTGCGAACGCGTGCACACTCTCAGATTATGGTAAGGACGGTTCTCAGCGTCTTTCCATCAACAGGTTAGGTGAACTGTTCAGTTACCGTATCCTCAAGGTGTGATCTGTTGACTGAGGGAGGGCTGCTTCACCCTTGTCATACATGATCACCAAAAACTCTGCAAAGCCGCTCATTGGATGCTGTGTGTGTCAGTGTTTGTATGTGTGTGTGTGCAGCCTGACCGGCCACAGAGGTGCAGAGTGCTGGACCTCAGCTGTCTAAAAGTATCTCACCATAGACACGTGCTGAATGCCTGGTCCTTCTATCCCTGCTAGCTTGTACTCAGATTACCCTTGTTACATAAGTGTGCACAAGTCCACCGCATTTACTGAAGAAGAAAAAAACCCTCCCCTCAGCAAAGGAGTTTGTGCTGTGTAGTGACTAAGCATGCAATAAAACCACTGGCTACAAAGATTTTAATCATCTGTAATATTCACTGTCATAGTTCTTACTGAGTCACTTGTACTGACTTTGATAGTGTGCTTTTTTTTTATATTTAGAACATGTATAAAAACTGACAATTTCTCTGCTTCTAAGTGCGTCCAGAATTCACAGACACACTGGCCATCAAGCAGGGTCGCCATCCCATTTTGGAGCGAATGGCTGGACAACAGCCTGTGTCGAACAACAGCTACATCTCTGAAGGCAGCAATTTTGTTATCATCACTGGACCCAACATGAGTGGGAAATCCACCTTCCTCAAACAAGTGGCACTGTGTCAGATCATGGCTCAGATAGGTCGGCAGAGCGATCGCCCGCCTCATATATGAGACACATTTTACATGACTCCAGAGCAAGGTTGAGTAACCAATCATTTGGTGGCCACCCGCCTGCTGCGCCTCATTTCGTGTTGCTGATCAGATTTTCACCAGAATTGGAGTAGACGACGATTTTGAAACAAATTCCTCCACATTCATGCTGGAAATGAAAGAGGTATTATTGTTGTTCTGTTCACCGGCCAGGAAGTCCTCAACCTAATCATGACTGTGCATTTCCTTTCCTAAAGATGTCCTACATCATCCACAATGTTAGTGACAGATCCCTGATCATCATAGATGAGTTGGGACGTGGCACAAGTGCCGAGGAGGGCATTGGTATTTGCCACTCAGTCTGTGAATTCCTACTTGGCCTCAAGGTGAGGCACACGGTACACACGGTTGGTTTGTTTGCAGCCGCTCCTCTGAAACCAGTCATCACAGAAGCTTTTTTTGTGTGAGCTATTTGGAAAATGACAAGGCAGAAATACATTGCATTGATATTTGCTGCTTTCCTTTTTCCCTTTCTTTGCAGGCATATACACTGTTTGCTACACACTTTCTCGAACTCTGCCAACTGGAGTCTCTTTACCCCAACGTAGAGAACCAGCACATGGAGGTACAGCACACCCGCAGTCTGGACTCTGGTGCTGAAAGTGTGGTGTACACTTACTTACTGAGTAGAGGATGTTCAGAGGAAAGACACTATGGTATAGTGGTGCAGTGGACATGCAGTGCAGCTAATTCAGTTGCTATTGGGTCTACGTTAAGATAACATGATTCTGGTATGTTCCAGGATTGAGAGCAGCTGAAATGACCTCCCTGCCTTTAAGTCTAATTCATGAGGCAAAGACCATTGCATCTAATGTAACTCAGCAGCTTTTGGTGAGCTGTGTTAGTGAATTTTCCAACCTCTATTGTGGGTGCCTAACACGTAAGGAAAAGGACAGTACATGAGGAAGTCTGTTTATTTTTTAGGCCAAACATCACAGTGATCCAGAAACACAGTGGCAGAGAGCTGTGTACCGCCTGGCCACCCGCCTGCTGCAGGCAGCCAGGAACTCCAGGCTGGATCCAGACAGCCTGCGTATGTACCTCAAAGGCCTGAAGAAGCAGTACGAGGCCGAGCTGCAGGCCATGGTGACACAGGCCTCCATGGACGTAAAGTCTTAGGCCTCCTCAGGGATGGAGAATAAAACAAAACATATAAATACCATATTTAACAACCATTATATAGTTTATTTAGCTTGGGCCTTAGTAATTAGTCTATAAAACCCATATTATTATAGAGTTAATTTACAACATTGTTCAAGGTTTCCTGTTAAACTGTTTGTTGTGTCATCTGTAACTTGGTATCTTGCTTGACCACCTTTTTTCTACTAAACTGGACCATAATTTACCAAAACAGAGTTTGAATTTCAATTGGAGAAGACGTTGATGCAATTTGTTGTCATTCTCAGAGACATTCTGGTAGACATATAAAATGGAAATCCTTTGTTTTATTGGCATATTTTTAGAGAATATGTTTTCAACAGACAAAAAGAAGAGAAAGTCTTTAGGGTTTTCAATTGGAAACATTTATTAATTTTGTAGAGGCTGTCTTTAACAATAGTTGGGAATAGAAAAACTTTTTAAAAATATTATAACACGTCATTAACGTGAAAGACGAGGGGAATTTGGTGTCCATCCAAACAGCACAGAAGAAAGCAAGGCTGCTTCTACTGCTGCCGGGGGAAGTCACACCACCATACCACGAAACACCACACTGAAGCTACAGGTATGTTGCGAGGACCCAGTCACACAGACTTTGTGTTTATTTCCCCACAAAACCACAGCTTAGCCCATTATCTAGGCCTAGGAACGGCCGTTAGGACTTTAACAGAAGAAGTGAGCAACGGAGCGGGTCAGAGATTTTAGCAGAGATGGAGGCTGGGTCACCAGCGAGACGAGGCCCGTGGGTCAGATGTCCACGCCTCCAGAGTAGCCGAGGGCTCTTGGGTGGAGGTGAACATGTTTTTTGTCGTGTCACTTTCCTGGTTGAACGCCCCCCCCAATAGACACGCACTTAAAAGGCGCCCCGTGTCTTTTTATGTCCTGTCCACGACAGCGTCAGGATTAAACTGCCAAACATTCTATTTTTCCCCCAGTCATGTTGGAGAGTTTGTCGTTGACTCATATTTAGTAGACTATGCAGAGACTGTAATGTCTTCTGCTTCCTAAAATTACAGAAATCAGTGGATTTGTACACATACGTACATACATATATAAAGATACTGTATGTATAGGTATATTAGTATGTATATGTGTGTAAGTATGTCTATATATATTTATATGGATATGGATAAAGAAGGTTCTGCAGTGGATGTTTGAGAACCACTGCCATTGGACAAACTGAGTCAAGTTGGTGGTTTTTTTTTTTTTTTTACAGCTGTTATTATATAACCATGTTGTTAAAGTCGTTTCTGACACTGGAAAAAAGGTATTTGTGTTTCTTGCCTTTTCAAGAAATTCTACAGCTTAGTAAATACTTCAACATTTGTAAAGAGTTCACCATGAAAAGGTGGAAGAAGCTTTTCTTCATCTCTACCTTCATCTGCCTCGCTGTAGGAGTGTGGTGCACGTCGTTTATGGCTGCAAAGGTTTAAAAAAAAGCTGATTTGTTGTGGTAGACAAAAAAGTGCAGCAGCTTCTTTTTTTCTTTTTTCTTTTTTTTTTTGCATTAGTTGCAAAACCAGTGGAAACACAACACTCACTAGCTGATGTCAGTGAGCTTCTCTTCTTCCAGAGAACTTTGTTGTACCCCTGTGTTATAATGACAGTAAAGGCTATTCTATTCTGTTCTTGTGTGTCGGTGTTGTCCAATACTAGGCGTCAGTC